AGTCACTAATCAGTCAGTAGGTATGTAAAGTCTAAATGAAACATAGTTTTCAGCCCCACGGTACCCAATGGGTACTTAGGCCTTAGGCCTTCGTGGTAGTTGGAGTATAAAAAAAAAAAAAAAAAAATTAAAATAAAAATCAGTAACTATGAAGCAAAACAAAAAAAAAAGCTAAAAAAAGAATATTACCATGCATATGGGTGAGCACATAAATTTATGGGGTAACTCAAATGTTCTACTTCGTAAAGTTATATGATAAGATATAATAAAATACAAATGTAACATATTACACTTGTTCTTTAAAACATTCCATTTCAATATGTAAATTCCAATACTCATGTTCCCAATTTGATCTCATAACATCTCATAAACTTACATATACTCACTCGTCAAAAGTAGCGTCAGTACATAACTGTACAAAATATTCAGTCAATAATGAGACAGACTGTCAGGTTAATAAAAATATGTTTCCAGTCACTAAAATCAGTATGTGAAGTTTAAATAAAACATAATTTTCTGATAACATAGTAACTATGAAGCACAACAAAAAAAAAGCTAAAAAAATATTTCCATGCATAGTAGTGAGCACATATATATACAGGGTTATCCAAATTAAGTGTCCACCATTGGTAACTTTGTTATTAGTAAAAATACAAAGTTGTTTAAATTAGCAAACTAGTAGCATTTTTAACGCTGGTAAAAATGAGAAATAAAAAAAAACAATTGAGAGTCGTTATTTTGATTTTTTTCAGTAAAATAACATTTTTTTAAATGGAAACCCCTGTATATTATATTTTTTTCTGTTAAAGCATCAAATTTTAAACAAAAAAGTTCATAATGACTTTTCCGCTAAAGTCAAAAATAAAGTCAAAATAACGATAAATATTTTTAATTATTTGCAGTATTATAATATTAAGACGGCTATGAAAACAACATGGCGTTCGCGATTTGACAGCATTAAGATAAGCGACAAATTGTTAAACTGGACATACTCGCAACTAGAAGGCTTTGGAAAACAATGATAAAATCAAATAATGTCAAAAATTAGTGTAAATACTTGTTTATAAGCTTTATTGTGTCATTAATTTAAAGAAAAATGTTCTCCCATGAAGAAAAGTGTGATATGTTAGAATGCTATTTAGTGTGCAGAAAATCCTCCTTGAGAGCAAGAGTGAATTATATCCCGCTCGCATTCAACCGTATGAACGATATTTTCTGAAACTTTATCGAAAATTTAGGGGCAACGAAAATGTTTTTGCTAAAACAAGGGCAAAAAAAGAATTCATAATAAGCGAGGCCACGGAAATTGCAGTTATTGGATATTTTGAAGCTTATCGTGAGAATTCAATAGCAGATATTCTCAAGGACTCTAATTTCAGTTATGGTACTGTTCAAAGGATTTTAAAAAAATACAAATTTATTCCGTATAAGTACCGACCAGTTCAAACGCTTTTGGCAGGGGATCCAGAGAGAAGACTTGTTTTTTGCCATTGGTATCTTAGCTTCTGTCGCCAAAATGTAAATAACTTTCGTTACCTTTTATGGACAGATGAATCAAATTTTTCAAATTCTGGAATGTTTAATAGAAAAAAACCACCATTATTGGTCAAGAGAAAATCTTTTGTTAGTACATCCAAGAGGCCCACAAGTCCGTTTCAGTTTCAACGTTTGGTGCGGTATAATTGGTTCAAAAATTGTTGGCCCGTTCTTTTATGAGGGAACCCTAACTGGTGAAAGATATGTGGAATTTATGTCAGAAATTCTGACTAATTTCTTATACGAATTGGATCTTATAAGTAGACATCATCTGCATTTTCAGCAAGATGGCGCACCTGCCCACAACTCCAGAGGTACTTATCATTTTCTAAGTACTACTTTTAATGATCAGTGGATAGGAACAAATGGCCCAATACAGTGGCCTCCCAGATCACCAGATCTAAACCCACTTGATTACTTCTTGTGGGGTTACTTAAAGAACCAAATTTACAAGCGAAGGTACGATAACCTTGACGCGTTAAAGACTGCAGTTAGGGAAAAGATAACCCAGATAGATGGTAGGACCATACTTAAGACAGTTCGAGCAGTTGAAAAACGTGCCCAAAAATGTATTGAAGAACAAGGTGGTGTTTTCGAGCATCTTCTTTAAAAAAAAATTTTATTGTATTTTGTAAGATTATAAGTTGATGTTGAAAATAAAGTTTGTCGATACAATTTAATTGTTTCAGATTGGAGGCCATAACTTCAACAATTTGTAACCTAGGAGAAAAGTTATTGTAAGCTTTTTTGTTTAAAATTTGATGCTTTAACAGAAAAAAATATAATATACAGGGGTTTCCATTTAAAAAAATGTTATTTTACTGAAAAAAATCAAAATAACGACTCTCAATTGTTTTTTTTTATTTCTCATTTTTACCAGCGTTAAAAATGCTACTAGTTTGCTAATTCAAACAACTTTGTATTTTCACTAATAACAAAGTTACTAATGGTGGACACTTAATTTGGATAACCCTGTATATGGGGAACTGAACTAAGAGGGAAAGCTCTAGTAGTTTGATGATAATAAGAGGTGTTAAGTTAGTTTTTAAAGAAACTGTAAAATGTAAGTCTTCAAGCTAAAATTTGGCATGAATAAAAACTCTTCAGAAATAAATTTTGATGATACTCATAAAAAAAACTTACAAAAAATTATGCATAATACAGAATCAACTTTGATGGATGAAAGTTAAGTCATTTGTGTAGACTCATTAATAAAGATGGATTAAAACAAGTACACAGAGAATCCTATATATTTCAAGTATTGTTCTGCCATGCTAAGCACAGAGGGGGGTACCTGCAATTTTTGGGCATATTTTTCACCTAGTAACATATACATACAAGTTAGTAATGTAACAGTTGCCACTTTTTTGCTTTAGTATGTTAGCTAGTAATATTTGACCTAAAATGCCAGTTAGCTGCAATGTTGCAGATAACACTCAATTGGTTTATTATGTGGTACATGTGCCTATTTTGCTTAGTATGTTGGCTAGTGATATTTACCTCAAACGCAAGGTAGCTCTAAGTGTTTAAGTGGCCATACCTGCTTAACTTCTTAATATTAACATGAAATATTTACACCAATTTCAAGTAACTTTATGTAAAAAAAAAATAATTACTAAGTCTGTGAACATGAAATAACCATTTCTGTCCATTTGGTAAACAAAATTCAGAGATTCAAACTTCAGATGCGTTTCTCTCAGTTCAAGGTTAACTGCAAATACCTCCTCTGTACTCAGCATTTCAGTGTTATAATATATTATACACTAGGTATACTAGAACAACTATTTAGCACTAGAAGCTTTAAAGTTAGATCATTTGGTCTGTTTAGTATAATTTTTCATGACTGAAACATTAAGCCACGAGTACTCTTCATATCATAACAAAAAAATCAGTAAAATCTAAATAAGAATTTTACAATGCACTAAAGACGTTGTAGAATTTGTTATACTGCATTCTACAGTAGATCGAAAATAATCAGTTAAACCTGGCAGACAACCATGAAAATGTGCTGCCCTATTAAAAATCTTTCAAGCATCAAACAATGCTTGAAAGATTTCAACACCATTTATACAATTTGCTATTACAGAAAGATTTTATTGTAAGGGCTAGCGCCTATCTAAAAGTCTTTTCAATCTATCTGTGAATGTAGTTTATAATGTTGAACATGCACATGGGAAGAAGTGACAGTGTACTCACTGTTCACTCTTCAATAACATGAGTTGAATTGTGTTAATTTGACATGAAAGATAATATACATAGTATTATAGTTTCCAATTTGTGGTAAAAAGTTTATAAACAGGGGAAAATTAACCAAGCATCAAAATATTTTTATTTTGATAAACTTTTATTAGATATATACAATTCAAATGCAGTCACTTAACTTCAAAATATGTTTATTATGATAACACAATCTGTATTGTCTGTTTCACGAGTATTCATTGTGGTAGAATGATAGCTGATTGTTTAGTGTTATTTGAAAATTCCCTTTTTGTACTTGCTAATAACTCTTTTATTTAGAAAAGTTCATTGTGCATACAAAAAAGAAGTGACAAGAAAGTTGTACTACTTATGCATCGGATTTATTATTGGCAACAGTTACAAACTAATACAAAGATGTCACTTGTTGATCAGCTGTTCACCTCAGTAGACGTCAAAACATGATGGATACTCGTGAAACAGGATTTCATCTTTCATCAAATAATTCCCAGAACACCACCAAGCAGGCACAAAAAAGGACCTTAACAGTAATTTATAATGTGACTGGTCAAAATTGCTTGTACAATGTTTCTTAAATACCTCTAATTTGACAAATATACGATGTCATCTACTCATAATTAACTATTCATAACCTATATTTTATGTCAGTTGAAAAATTATAAGCAAAAAAAAGTCCAAAATTGCAGAATGGTGTTCCCCTAGTGTTTTCAAACACAAGTTGCTTGAAGTCAATAGAGGTTTTTCCACAAGAGAAAGTAATTAAGGTCCTTTCAAGATTACTAAAAAAAGCTTGCAGAAGCCTCTTATTAACTATTAGCTAAGATACTTTATTTACATTGAGGAACCATTTTTAAGCTCTCGCAATGTAGGTTCCTTCCACGTGCACAGGCATGCAGGAATAATACAATGCGAGATCGTGTGAGAAACTATCAGTTTATTTATAGTTTTGGAAAATCATGCTATTTTAAAACAAACTTGAAATTGTTTCATAACCTTAAGGCATTATTGCGCAGGATTAAAAAGTAAACAAGCAGGGAAAATCGTGTGATAGAAAAGATCTGTCCGTTGACAAGCTAAAAAATATAAAATTTGTTGAATAATGTGGATTCAACTTTGGTCCGTCGATGCATAATAACCAAAGCAATAGATACCAAGCTAGAATTTTCTTTCTTTTGTAATACTTGAAAAGCGTTTGAGTTCTGCGTAAAGCTATAGAATGCTGTTGGATGCAATTATTGTTAACTTACGTTTCCTCTGCCAGAGGTTAACGGCCAGGTATATAAAACGGGTTCAGCCCCAGCGGGGGAATGCAATTTTAGCTCCATCGTCAGAACCCAGTCGATGTTAGCTAAACAAGTCTTTCCCACTGGATTTAAACATCACTTGAACTGTTAATTTTACCCACATCAAACACACATTTTCCACGGAAGTTTATAGATCTCGCACAGCAAAACACGCCATCGCCTGAACTGAAAGCTGCGCGCGCACTACACCATTGTAGATTGTCGGGATGGTAGCGATACCACCTTAAAATTCTCAAAAGCTTAGACAGTTTTGACAACGAACAGGAATAAGCCCGTTTTCTAATCGCGCGGTTGCCACGTTGACGCCAACTTACCCATTTGTGCTGCTCGACGTCCGCAAAATATTTGCACTACACAGACATCTTAAATACACTTTATGATAAACATAATATTACTACATCCCACTTGAAATTATTATTTTTGCGGTCGAACTTTACTGGATTATAATTTGGACTGAACTGTACTTTATATTAAATATAGCTAATTGTTTAAGTACCTAGGTATATTAGAAATTAATTACAATAAGTTGTATACGAGGAATGTCTTTTAAGTTTTGCATATAGAAGCATAGTAGGCCGCGCGGATCGAACGTCAGTACTGAATCTTAACACCAATCTTTAGTAAACTTAAATTCAAGGTTTCACAACAATACGTGCTGTTCTCACTACAGTGAATTTTTAAGTGTCACCAAGTTATTAAAAAAATGGAACTCAACCGAGAACATTTTCGCGCCATAATTTATTACAACTTTCAGAGATAATTATCGTAACAAGAATGCCTTGCTGAGTTACTGTCTGTTTTCGGCAACGAAGCGCCACATTAGTCAACAATTTCCTGTTGGTATGGAGATTTCAAACGTAAACGGGTGAGTCTTAGCGACGATCCCAGGGTGGGTGCACCAAAAACGGCGCCCAGGAAAACGTCGATGCTGTGCGTAAACTCATCATTGAAGATAGACATGTGACATATCGCGAGATTGAGGCGTCCTTGAAGATCTCAAAGACCTCAATTCAAAAAATTTTACATGAAGAATAAGGAGTCAGAAAATTAGTTTCTCGTTGGATACCCCACCTGTTGACCGAAGAGCAGAAAGCAGCCAGGGTTAATTGGTGTCAACGCCTGACCGTTCCACTTCCGGAAACTCGAAAAATGTGTACAGCATTGTAAGTGGTGATGAATCGTAGATTTACAGTTATGAACCAGAAAATTAACGACAGTCGGCTGTTTGGGTGTTGCAAGGTGAAGAAAAGCCAACAAAAGTCATCCGTTCTCGAAGTGTTTCGAAAAAGATAGTCGCGACATTTGTGTCAAAAGCGGGTCATATTGCAACAATTCCTCTTAGTGAGCAAAGAACTGTTACTGCGGATTGGTATACCACCATATGTTTGCCATAAGTCATCACCGAGCTTCGAAAAATCTGCCCCGAAAGAAGAATCATCCTCCACCAAGACAATGCAAGCTCGCACACAGCCCAAAAAACAAGGCAGTATTCAACGGAAGAAAACGTGGAATTATTGGACCATCCTCCATATAGTCCCGATTTCTTTACTTTCCTGAAGATTAGAAACACACTGCGTGGCCAAAGGTTCCAGTCACCAGAAGAAGCAGTTGACGCATTCAAAAATGCCGTTTTGGATCTGCCAGCAAACGAGTGGAATAAGTGCTTCGAAAATTAGTTCGAGCGAATGCAGATGTGTATTAATTAATCTTCGTGGAGAATACTTCGAAAAACAATAAAGTCATTTAAAACTACCTACCGTGTTGTTTTATTTCCATATGCAAAACTTAAAAGACATCCCTCGTATGTATACGAGTATAAACTTTGCCCGAGCTCGTCAAGCTTTAAGGGCCGTATCATCAGTCGTTCCTACCATCGTAAGACGCCTTTATGGCCTCCTTGATTTTCATAGTTTTCTACTGTTCCGGGTCAGCGCTCTATTTTGAGGTTATGTCACAAATATCTATTTGCATTAAATTGTTCATGATTTTCATTCATATCATCTGATTTATCAGCCTGAAATGTCCTGTAATTCATAAAGAAATGATAACTTGACAGTAGGAGAGCGCCAATGCTGACACGGAATAGGTGAAATCTAATAATACCCCAGCCTTTCTGAAGAACAGAAAAGACTATGAAAATCAAGGAGGCCATAAAGGCAACCTTCTATTGTAGGAACGACTGACATTACGGCCCTTAGTAATTCCATGCAAGTAGCGTGAAAGATCCCATGGTATGACTGTGTGCTGTTTTTCCCTACTCTTTTTTTAATATCGAGGTACGGAAATTGTTAAAACGAGGTTGGGGAATCATTATTAATCCGATTTTTGAAATACGCAAGGGTAGCAAGACTGGGTATGCGAAGTATCTCTTCATGCAAATTGTTTCACAATCTTGACACCCAAGATCCTCATAGGAACAAAGAAGGAATCGTATTATTGGCCAGTCTTTCTCTATATTGTTCAGAACCGTTTTTCTGCAAATGCAACTCCTGGAATCTATCTTGTTGTATATCTAGCTCATCTTGCTTATTATAACCAATAAATAAAACCACAGATGCTTATTAAATTCCAAATTGTTTACCGGCGTTTCAGCAAATTTTCAAAGTATATGAACAAAATTATGCAGAAAACTACCTTCACACTAAATCATATTCAAACGTTCTTTGATAGGCAATTATATGACGCTGTACACGGGAGTTAAATTATCGCGCTACAAAAATACGCGCATCGATATAGTGTGGCCCGTTCCATCTGCATCAATGCAATGTAAAACGGACTTTTTTCAGTGCGACAACCGAACGGCAGTGTGTACCGGCAGTAATTTAAACGATTTTCAAGTCATTATCTGTATTTTCACATTCTGTTCCTGTAATAGAAGACAAGAATGTCACTAGAAGCGGCAACGTCGCATCCGGCACGAATGACCATCCTTAGCATGATATCAAAACTACTTTCCGATATATTTATGTAGGATGCCTCTTGCCTCTAATATGATTGTAACCTGTGCAATGTGCAATATGCAGTGATGCATATCTTGTATCTACTTTATGTCATAATTATTTTGGAATTTGCACATTTAGAATAGAATGCTACGTAATGCGTCATATGATGCACCTGGCATTTAATGAAAATCCGAAAAGCAACTGTCAACTGTGGCATCACCGCAAAAAGTTCAATGAACGCATTTCACTATTATTTTAGTGACAATGCAAGTGTTGGCAAACATTTAAAGCGCTTGAGTTGTACTGTCGTGCATTTTAGATATTATTCGCTACGTTAATACTAATAATTGAACTTATTTTGTTGCCCTAGTCACTATTTTTGTCTATAGGTCTACCTTAGCCTGAAATGAAAATTTTAACCTATGGTAGGTGTGTAGGAAAATATCAGTTCCATTAATAACGGAATGAAAAATCAGAATGAATCATATTATTTGGGCGGTGCATCTACATGGAAAACGTGACCCTCGTCACGTAGCCATGTGCCTCGGTGGACCAATAAAAAGCGAGAGGGGGAAATTCGATTTTCAATCACATCGCTGTCATGGCACATGTTTCAACTTCTACCTGTCCTCATACTCTTTTTGATAAACAGGAAATGCATTATCTCTGGTGCTTATTCAGACTGAAAAACCACGTTTTGGATCGCTATTCTTCGTCGCTAACAATGTCATCGCCAATAATTATCATAAAGCAATGTTTTAACAGTCCTATTTTCAGGTTTTAGTAAAACTGTTTTACCTCGGTTATACCCAAAAGCAGGGTTGCCAGGTTTTCAGTCTCGTTGGTCGTCCAGTTTTAATGAAAAAACCCCAGAAATCGCCAATCCTCAAAGCCGTTCCACACTAACGCGAGAATCTCGGACACAGTTTCTTTGGGTCCACACTAGCAAGGTTCTCAATAAAGTTCTCGTGGTCGATGACGATGGACGCAGAATTAAATGTCGCGACAAGCTTATATTTACTCTGCACAGCGGCGTAATATACTTACGCCTATATTAACGGTTCGTATGTGAACCATATTGGCTGATAAATGTCGTCGACACCAGCACCAGATTCTTCCGATTTCTTGATTTTATTTTCATACCCTCTGTAGCTGGCTAATAACGAATTTTCAAGGTACTAATATGACGCATCGTGGGCTTTTAGTTTACTTTTATATTCTTTAAATTTGTATTCCACAAAATCGGTTCTGCTTGAAAATATTCTAGGAATGCCAATTCTAGTTCGTTCGCCCAAATCTGGCTCATATTGATGCTCAGTAGTAAATACCACGCACAACTGTTCTAATCAGCGAGTCACCTGCCACTGAGAAACATGTGAGTGTGGAGTCAATACAAGTTCTTGCCTGTTCTCGCGTTCTCAGCTATTTTGTCTCACGCCAAAAACTGATAAAAATCAACAAGCCTGCCTTTTGACTGAAGAGCGGTGGTGGGGGGATTAATTAGGCATAATAGTACTACAAGAATAAACAATTCATTGAAATCAGCGGGGGGATTGTCAGACACGTGTAATGTGAACGAAACTGTAAGTTCATTTTCAGAGGGATATGTTGAGGTGAGGGGGCTTCTGAAGCGAATGTTCTTGTGATTTTGCTGGGTACTCGCCATTTGCAGTCAAATCGCTACGCCTGGCAACCCTGCCCAAAAGCTCGATCCCATGTTAAATTTCAGTTGTCACCCGTCAGATTGTGTCTGTCTGTCTGTCAGTTTCATTGATGTTTTTGTTGTGTTGCATTGCTGGTTGAGCGGTAGTGCGTTAATCAAAAATTCCCCCTATTAAACAAATAAAAATACAAACTATCCAAAATGTGCGCTAAAATGGCATTCCAGCACCAGGCCGGTACGGCTATGGAGTGCTTGAGCGTAAGTACTGTTTATTCAGCCTATGTTGATATTAGGGCGTAAACAATAATTTTATCACTCATGAGTCACTACTCACTATCCATAGGTGTTTTTTCCGTTTTTCTATATCATTTTTAATTTTAGATCCCGATCACGTTACACAAGGAGGTTGATGGTGATACCATGAGATGTGGCTTCAAAATTGGAGGTGGCATAGACCAAGATTACCACAAAAGCCCGCAAGGGTATACTGACAATGTATGAAAACCTTCTAGCTCTCAAGTACTATTCAGGTCTTTGCCAAGGCTTTTATATAAGAATGGGACGGCAACAGACTTGGGAATCACTTATTTAACACTTGTCATCTCAAAAAGCAAATTGAATTGATCTTTTGATGTTTATAGGGAATCTATGTGACAGAGGTCCATAACAACAGTCCAGCATCCAGGGCAGGTCTTCGGGTGCATGACAAAATCCTCCAATGTAATGGGTATGATTTCACCATGGTAACACATAAAAAAGCTGTGAGCTACATCAAGAAACATCCAGTGTTAAACTTGCTGGTAGCTCGGAAAGGTGTCACATCAACATAATTTTCATATAGAATGGAAAAAATACATTGTCAGTTACCATAATCCATTCATTTAATTTTAAGACTCAGATGAAGCGTATTGGCTGTATGACTTTAAATAGTTAGGGTTTTAGATATATTGACAGTGTTACCAGGTCTACAGGTGGGCAGTTCTACTGATTTTAGTTATGATCTACCAAACTACCAATTTTAATACAAAATTAGCCAAATAAATTGAACTACATTTTTCTCTATTACAAAAGGGATTTTTTGCTTGTAAGTCATATATTTCTGTTGTTAAATAACCAAATAAACAACAAACATACTATTATTACTATAAATAAGATAATATCATTCTTCCAAAAATGTGTTACACCACCTGTTTATTGGCATCTGAGTTAGCCAGTATGTGTAATTTGATATGTAAACCTATAGGGTGCTGTAAGGATAGACTAAATACTGGGACTGTCAATCAGTACTGCTTTATTCATAATGCCATGGTGCTGTTAAAGAGTGTCATAATCTTGTTAACATAAACTAGTTTCAGACTTGTGGTATTCCAGCAAAAAATTTGTACATAAATGAAAACAAGACTTATGATTTTTTATAGTTTATTGTTTATATGCACCAATTTTATAGATATGATATATGTGGATTGTTTTTGATGGAGTATTGATTTTTTTATCAGCTCAGAAGTGGGATTGAGACGTTTGTGTAAAAATTGATTCAATTATATGCCCTTTTTTCAATTTTGATACTCCATCTACTGGCTAATTTCACAATCTACCGAAATCTTTCGTACAATTCTATTAAAAACAAATCGTCTGCACCTGGCAACACTGCATGTTAATTATATTGCAACAAACTTGTGCCAAGTACTGCATATTTGAATCTAGGGACAGTATAGTATAAAAGAAAAAATAGACTAGGTTGTGTCACATAATTTGTCAGGAGGAATACTTGAATGGTATTTTGAAACTGGCAGGGTTATAATGAAGAAATGATCTAAAACAGTTTTTTAATGTATTTCTGATGCTTCATCTGGAAGCATCATTATTTGAGAAATTTCACAAGAAAATAACTCATCAAAGCATTTGTGCAGTATTTTCCAAAAGTTTGTTACTAAGCTGATGATGCTTTGGAATAATGTTATATTGTTTATAGTTTAATATTGAAGGAATGTAGAAAATTGTTTCAGAATTAGAAAGATCATGTTTTGATTATTGGAAGTATTACTCTAGGGAATTGGATATTTTATTTGACTCTGTTGCTAAATGTGTATTTCAGAAGAATTAATGTTTTTTAAACATATATCCCATTATAAAACATATGGTATGGCCAGCGAATATTTTGAAGTCAATAATACACTATAGTACAGTATAAGTTTTACCCAAAAACGTTTTTTTAGATTTTTGTTATATTGTTCTATCTATAAGTAAAAATATTAAAATTCAAAATGATTTCTCTAGTGGCTCAGTACATGGTTGTGTAGTCTTAGTGATAAATCATTTCAAGTAGTGATATGTGAGAATTGCTATATGATCAGTGACATTTTTTTGACAGAGTTTAAACAATAGAAATGTATGTAAAATTTAGGATATTAGTAGCTTATCGAAATATTGTGCCTATTAGGTTGTGTTGAGCAGTTATAATTTTTCAAAATAGTTTTTGTAAGGGTTTATCTGTATATCTGCTACAGAACATTTTTTTGTACATTATATTTTGATTTGTTAGCAAATGTGTCCATTTGTATATTTCAGAATCTTATTGATTGTTTTTGAAATATATGTATATATGTATTGTACCGAATATTTGTTTCTTATTTCATATTCCAAACGACTAATTTCCTACTTCAAACTCAACTCAACTAACAATGGTTATATAGCACCTACGGAGTACCACAGGGGTCAGTTCTTGGACCTCTGTGATACTGACTACTGGAACAGATGGAATTGCTTTAACGAATCTTATTAATGATGACCTGAATAGTTATCTTAAACGGCTGTTTTCAAATAGAAAACACAAAATACATTATATTTAAACAAAAAATAAGATAGCTATCTAAATATTAAGATGAATAATATAGTGATAGAAAAAGTGTCAAGTATTAAATATTTGGGATTACTAATAGATGAAAATTTAAATTGGTCACTTCACTTAAATGCAATTTGTGATAAAATAGTTTCAATGCTATCTGCCTTTATATAAGAGTAGAGATTATTTGTCCAACAAAAGCAAATTTATAATGCCTTCTTTCTCACACATTTTAGGTACCTCTTGCCAGTATGGGGTATGTGCGGTGAAGTAAATTTTAATAAAGCTCAAGTTTTGCAAAATAAAATTCTGAAAATATTGTTTAATTTTGATTGGCTTACAACTTCTAATACACTTTATTCAAATTTAAATTTAAACAAATTAAGAGTGTTATTGGAGGTGGAACAATGTAAGCTTGTTTATAAAATTATAAATAATCTACAAAAAAGTAACATAAATATTAGGTTCTACCATAACGTGCATGATCACCAGACAAGATCACTAAATAATGTTTATCAAATTTCCACAAGAACTAATATAGGTTTAAACAATCCAATCACAGACGCAATTAAAAAAATAATAATTTACCTCATTGTATAAAAGATTCAAATAACTATAGAAGTTTTGTTAGAGAATTGAAAGATTTTAAAAATGTTAATGAATTTATTTGTTGAAATTATGAGCAACATTGCAGTGTACCTAGTTCATAGATATTGATTATTGTTTTGTTATTCTCGGGGCCAGTGTTTGCAAGCACTGATTGGGGAATTATTGTTAAAACTGGTTATACATTTTCTATGATTGTGTTTAAATAAATTATTTCAAAAAAAACTCCACGACACAATATCACTTTTTATCTCAATAAGTGTTCAAAATGTTGCCCGTTACTGGCCAAACAATGATATAGGCGATGTACAAATTCTTGACGGACATTTTAAAAAACATGTGGGATATGGCAGCCTTCGATGATGCGTTGACGAAGTTCATCCAAACTTTCAGATTGAGGAGTAAACACAATAGATTTCAAATGGCCCCATACAAAAAAGTCTGATGGCGTCAAATCAGGAGATCTAGGAGGCCAGTCCATAGGCCCTCTTCGCCCTATCCACTTATCTGGAAGCATGAGGATTGTCATTGCTCCAATACCTGCAGTTCGGCTTATTAACAATTTAGATAAAATGTGCATTCATCACTGAAGCAGATATTCTTTCAGAGAGGCCCTGGGGGGCGAGGGTGAAAGGGGGTGAAGTAGTTTTTGGTTAAAAAGTTGTCCCCCTTGACAAATCTTTTGACGTGTCTCGGCGTTTTTCCTTTAAAACAGTTTTTTTCGATAAATCCGTGGTGGGCAGATTTCAAATGAACACCCATTTTAAATTCATTTTAGTACTTGATAGTTTTATAAAATTCTAAATTTGACCCATTTTCCAATATTTAAATATTCTTGACAGGTAGAATACAGTTGACTAAAATTGGAAATGTGATCAATGACTCGTCAGAAATAGATATGGGCATACCACAGGGCACCGTTATTCGGCCATTTCTATTTATATTATATATAAACTCTTTGACAGATATTATTCTAGAAAATGGTATGGTGGTTTCATACGCTGATGACACCGTCGTGGTCTTTGTGGCAGAAACATGGGAAGAGGTATATGAAAAAACATCTCTTGGATTAGAAAAAATAAAATTTTGGCTTGATTCATCTAAACTTAGTTTAAATGTGGATAAAACTAATTACATAGCCTTTTCCTTAACATCTGCAAATTTTAACAGCATACAAGTAAACGGTTTTGAAAATGAAATAAAAGAGGTACCATACGCCAAATACCTTGGTGTAATAATAGATCAAAATCTTAAATGGAAGCAAAATGTACTTAGGTTAGCTAACAATCTAAGAAAACTAATTACAAAATTTTACATGATCAGAGAAATTTTAAACAATCTCTTATTAATCTGTGTCTATAAAGCCCTACTGCAAATTTTAACAGCATACAAGTAAACGGTTTTGAAAATGAAATAAAAGAGGTACCATACGCCAAATACCTTGGTGTAATAATAGATCAAAATCTTAAATGGAAGCAAAATGTACTTAGGTTAGCTAACAATCTAAGAAAACTAATTACAAAATTTTACATGATCAGAGAAATTTTAAACAATCTCTTATTAATCTGTGTCTATAAAGCCCTACTGGAGTCATTACTCAGATACGGGATAATTGTCTGGGGAAGTTTATATGAGACAGCATTAAAGCCTTTAAAAACTATCCAGAATCACATATTAAAAATAATTTTTAGGAAAAACAAAAGTTATCCTACTTGTCATAGTGACAAAATACCTGCTGTAAGACCATTGTATATTTTAGAAGTCTGCTCCTTTAGGTATAAAAATCCTTTAATAAGAGAATATGTTAGTCATCCTTATTCAACCAGAAACAATGCTGATAGAAATCTAATAATACCCAATAGTTTCACAAACATAAACTTAAGATCAATTAACTATATTGGTCCGAAAATCTACAACATTTTGCCTGGGACACTGAGGATAATAAATAAATTAAAATTGTTTAGTTCAGAGTGTAGATCATTTGTTGTGGCAAACCGTGACAGGTTCATAGCTCTTTGCTAGCTAAATATGCAAATGTTTTGATATTTTTTTTTATGTTTTTTTTAGGAATTTAAATTCTGAGTTGGTTGATTTTTGTCCTTGTTTAAGTGGCTACAAAGTAATTGGCATGAGATTATGATTATATAGATTATCAAATAATTATTTGACCTGGATTTATTTTGTTTTATTTATTTTACTATTTTATTATTAAAATGTTACATTACACATTATTTAATATTGGTGCATACGGATATTAAGTTATCTAGGTACCACATAAGGAAAACTATACATGTTTTATTTTAGTGAAATATATGAAACCACTGTATATATCGCCATCACTTTGTAATATATTGTATTGTTGTTGTATTGTACCTCATATACCATCGCTTATAAACTCGAATCCTGTTGCCCTACGATTGCGAATAAGTAAATTTTCAAAGACCCTCGTATTCGTTTATGTATATCTGGTTGCCTAACTGTGCATAGAAAGTTCCATATTTTTCCGTTGCGCTGTCAAAACCTCCCACTACTTATGATGTGCATCACGAGGTTCGATTGTCAAATATCATTTAAATATTGGCCAGGTTCAGTTTTTAAACTAGTATGTTTCTACTAGTTCAGTTCCTAGTTGAAGTTTAAAAATGTTGGTGTTTATACTTCCATTCATCGTCATAGCTGTTATAGCTAAATTACTACTACCTAAGAAGAAACCTTCAATCAAAGGTAAACACATAGTGATTTTTGGGGGCTCCAGTGGAATCGGAAAGGCTCTAGCTATCCTAGCAGCAAAGGAAGGAGCTCATGTAACTATACTTGCAAGGAATATCGATAAACTAACCGAAGCTAAGAACGAGATCAAGAATTATTGTATAGATGAAGAACAACTCATAGCAAAAGTGTCTGTGGATGTTACCAACTATGAAGCAGTAGAAAACAACTTAGGAGAAGTTGAGGCGATTGTGGGCCCCATTTACATGCTAGTCAACTGTGCTGGAATGGCTATCTGTGGAGAAATAGAAAATTTCACACAACAACAGATCAAGACCCTTGTTGATGTTAACCTGATTGGCAGTATATACTCTGTGAAAGCTATTGTGCCAAAATTCAAGAAACGTAGAGAAGGAATCATAATCCTGACAGCCTCTCAAGTAGCTTTAATGGGAATGTATGGCTACTCAGTGTACTCCAGTTGCAAATTTGCATTAAGGGGATTTGCTGAATCTGTTTACCAAGAAGTAAAGCCTTATAACATTTCTGTGACTTTGGCTCTCCCTCCAGATACTGACACCCCTGGATTTGAAATTGAGAACCAGACTAAGCCAAAAGAAACCAAATTGTTGAGCGAGACAGGGGGGTTGCTACAACCAGAAGAAGTTGCCAAGAAAATGTTGGATGATGCTCTGGTAAGAATATTTCCACTAAAGTATTAACAGATACATATTAATTTATTATGCATTGTTCATTGTATTTGATATTTTACTTTACAATTTAACTTGCAGCATTTGTTAGTCACATACTTGTTAAAGAATTAAATTTTATAGCATATCAATGTCTTGCAGATAATGAATAATTTTATGATTTATTAAATTTTCCTTTCTGTTTCAGAGTGGAAAATTCTTCAGCTATGTAGGATTTGAGTCTTTCATACTTACTACACTCTGTGTCGGAATGAGTCCTTTCCAATCAGTATTTGATGTCATTATCCAAAGCTGCCTCCTTGGTATGTTAAGAATTGTTGGTGCATTCTATTCTATGTATTTCAATGGCATTATCAAAAAATGCTTCAAAGAAAAAGAGAGCAAAAAAGATAAGCAGACCTAAAACTATCTAGACTTGGAAACATCATATAGACTGAACATGTCTTCAAATGAAACTAACATCTACAGAAGTGTGTTTGTTATATCAAATTATTGAGAATATTCAGCACTCAGTATAGGGTACAAAAGAAAGTTATATTGTTCTATATTACTACTGATATTCAACAAATTGTGGTTGATATAGTTTTACTTTGTATACATGTTAGTCTTGGCGTATATCTTTTTTATTGGGTTTTATCAATAATCATTGTACTTACTATTTTAAGCAATATATCATTGTATCCAAATCCAAATGTATTTTCACATAAGACTGAAATATGTTGACATAAGACTTAGTTGAACACTGACATCCTAAAGAATGGAAAACAGGACTATGACATGACAATATGATGGCGTTTTTTGAAGAGAAATTAACCAAAGAATCTCTGTGACTGCTTTACACATTCAAAGTAGACTTGTTGATATCATGACTGAAATTTTGTATTATTTTGTATATTTGGCTTTGTTCAAAATGCATTGGGTATATATATATATATGTATATAACAAAAAGAAAAATAATGGGCAACATCCGAAAAAAAAGGAAAATGGATCCTTTGGGCTTGAAGTACCACAGCAAGTAGCCATAATCCGGCCGCGTAGTTGTGATTAGATGTCGCCTTGGAAACTCGAAGCCTTCTGGCCATGATACTACAAGAGTGTGGGTCGGCTCTTGTTGGTGACTTCGTGTGTTGCTTTGTTCTCCATCTTCATTTCCTCAGATTACACTCATATCCAAATATATGGGCATGTGTGTCTACTTTTGTAGTGGCATATGTGCATTCATTTCAGACCTGATGAAGCCAACAAGCAGAAATACGTATCGCTTGGATGACCTATCATACTTTCTGCTAGAATCCGTTTTCCTTCTTTTTGCGGATTTTGCCCATCATTTTTCTTTTTATTATAAACCTCTCTCCCCATGATCCTTTCTTTTATATATATATTATTGTATATGTAACTATTGTGTTTGTTCTTTGTATATTTATGTTCCAAATGATATTTTTTTTTCATAATTGAGGCATTTGCTACTATACACATCATGAAATTCCAATTTTCATACACTGGTTACATCCATAGAATGTGAAGCATAGTTATGTGAAAGCCTTTCTCTGATGCATTTATTTAATACTTGCAATAACAAAATGTTACAGAACTTTGTGTGAAATTAATATTGTGAGAAAGATTATATTAATATATGAAGTTTACATCAGTATGTAACTTCAATTATGTATTGTTTTATGAATGTTTATAATAAAGGATGTTTTAAATACCACTTATGTGTTTTATTTAGTATTTTCCTTCTTATCTCACACGACATAGGCACTTTTGCAACATTTTTTAAACTCGATCGTTGGAAATCTATTAAAGTACTGTCTGGACAAATGAAAGAAAAATCTGGTGTCTCAAAGATATTATTCAAACTACAGATTTTTTCGCCTATTAGTTATACTTATAGATGTGCTTCATGCTGATTAGCTTTGTAACGGCTACAATTATCTTTACCCAAACTGCTTAATCATTTAATATCCTCTTTTACATGATGAAAAAACATCCCCTTGGATATGCTGCCAAGATCAATATATCTACCTATCTTACAGAAATAGACTCCCTACAGTATTTTTAGTCATCCGCATTGATACAATAGATTAATTACAGTTTTCATTGTGCGAAAAAATCAACAGGTCCAGGGACCTGTGCCTAGCTTTTTTTTGAGTATGTCAAATTCATGAGATATCATTTATGTTAACAAGCTGCACTCCCTTTTATGACAAACCAATCCAACACAATTTATTACTGTACTGGAGCTACTTTTCCAAAAAAAGGAGACATTAATTTTTTCAAAATCATTCAACAATACTAAAGATGTTTGAAAAACTTGAGTCGCGTTGCAACGCGTATCTTTCTGTAGGGGGTTGAAGTAATTCTGGTACAGTTTATACACCTATAAAAGTTTGAGTCGATACTCTAGTTCCACTTGGGAGGATGGATCAATTTTTTTTTATTTAGTCAATAGACTCACTACACACCTTGTATCTTTATAATGTGGCATTTGCAGACCTATGTTCATATGTAGGGACTCGTTTGGTGTTAACTTTTGGCTATACTTTCTATTTCAGAAATATTCCAACCGTTTCTTAAATTAATAATGTAGTTTAAAAATAACTTGCATATGCCAGCGAAAAACTATAAGGACTAATTTAACATCGTGAGCGAAATTAACCGGTATTTCAACCAGTACCGTTTTCCTATATTAACTATTTTCCATTCTCCAACGACAAAGCAGGCAGACGGACATTTATGAAACATAACTTGTATCTCGCGACTCGCGTCTCGCGGTCTCAATAATTTTAACGTTGAACTCCATCGATTACCAGTAAGAGTGAGTCATGTTTCAGTAGAAATTGTTGTCAGTTACAATTTAAACTTTGAATTTCCCGCCATCGAATGACAGTTAGCGCCTGTGCACAGCCAATTGTCTTTCTATAACGTAGAATGTATTTTCAAGTCTATCGTTTTGTGGCTGGCTGTGTTGAGCTACCGTCTGTTTTAATTTGTAATGTCAGTCACACTTGATATACCTTAGTTAACGACTTGAAAGTAAATTGTAAATTATTTCTATTTATTTTACGTACTTATTGTAACTTAGTTCGGTTTTTGGTGGACACTTAGCAGAAATGGATAGTGAAATACTGCAAGTGGGCTCAAGTATCAACATTAAAAGAACTGATGGTGAGTAACTGAGTACTTATCTTTACCATATCCCAAGTGTCACAAAAACCGTTTGAGTTCTTTTTCCTTTTTATTTTTGACACTACCAAACGGTTATTAAGGCCTTACAATCTGCTAAGTACTCCAACAAACCTAACAGTTGTCCTATAGGTCGAGTTTATGCTCTTGATTGTTTTTTATGACATTTCTTGTGTCTTTTTTGCCTTACCAAAAGTTGTAACAGAATGATAAAAAGTCCGTTAGGAATTTGCAGAGATAACAGATAATCACTATGTGCTAATAATCATACTAATGTAACATTATGACCATTTCTGTTCATAATAGTAACGTGTTTATTGTCACTGGTACAGTTATAAAATCTGCTCTCGGGAGGACAATAACAATTTCATCAAATTTGTGAAAAATCTACTTTGTTTTACCTTTATAAACAACTGTCTATAAGTGTGTTTGGAATAATTTAAAAATATTCCTTAAATTAATTAAAATTAACTTGTCACTATGAGCATTCCCTGAGTGAAAAAGCTAACACCTCTTTTTTTATTTGATGTCTTCTATTTTGGATGAATTTCTATAAATAGATGGTCTATCATTAACTCCAAATATTTGATTGAGTCAACCTTTCAGTTAAGTGCTCAGTATTGTTTATATACACAGCATAACCATAACTAAAATATGTTTGTCCATTACTCATTAAGAGTTTATTATGACAATCTATCTATAAGACAAATGCGTCATATAAACATTCATAATGAAGTAGGTATGTAAGTGCAGAAATCAAAAATTTGTTATACCAATATTCATGCTGCAAGGATAGAGTGTCTAAACAAGTCTGAAAATGATAGATAGCTCATGCAGAATATGAATTGTAATCGTCAAAATTCAATAATTAATTTAAAAAATACCCACATACTCCACAAAAATTTTAATTGTTAATGACATAAGGTTTAATGTTGCATTAAGAAACAATCATTTGGCATGGATTTAAATTTATAAAACAAAGAGTATATGGAATCTTTATTAAATATACATGTAGAAACCCAGATGAGATTGATTTTTGAAAAAATTACTTTTGTACAAGTTTTTTGAACATAAAAATGTAAAATGTGAAGTTTCAAAAATCCTAGATAACTGATGCTCAATTTCCAAAAATGCTCTTTGTTTCCGGTCAGTTAATACTTTTAAATTTTACGTATATTATGAAAACTATATTTTCCAGTATATTTTGAATTTCTATATGAAATAAATTTATGCAAATGTCAAAATATTCATCATATGAAAGCTGAATGACATTGAAATTTGATGAAAATCCACCATCTAGTTTTTGTGGCAGGCATTCGGATTGAAATCCATTCTTTCCAAAGGCCAGAAACCATGCAGAATAAACTTCGTTTTTGGACGTTTCAGATCCTCATTATTTTTAAAAATCTTAGAGGTAAAAAAAACTTGGGGGTGGGGGTTGTAGTGGGGCGGGGAGGGCTTATCTCAATATTTCCAGATGCACTACCGGTAGGCCATGTAAGGAATGTCTATGGACTAATTGTATGGAAATGTTTGACTAACTTTTCTCAGGGGATTGTTTTTGCGGCACATTATCTTTTATGAACTGCTAACGGTGTTACGTGGGAAGTGCAGAGTCCATCTACTTGACGGCATTTTTTGTTCAAAATGATTTGAAAAAATCTGGAGTGGAAAAACATGTTTTTATCATTTGCTTGAGGGCCTATCGTCAGCCAGTAGGACGCCTTTATTGCCTCCTTGATTTTCAGTCTTTATTCTCCTTTAGAAAGGCTGGGGTATTTCTAGATTTCTACTGTTCCGTAAAAAGCATGAACAATTTGATGCAAATAGATATTTGTGACATAACCTCAAAATAGAGTGCTGACATGAAACACTAGAAAACTATGAAAATCAAGGAGGCCATAAAGGCGTCTACCATTGTAGGAACGACTGACGATACGGTCCTAAACAAATTCGGACCGGGTTACCGCCCGGCAACCTCGTAATTCATGGGTCATCCAAGAAATGTGTTTATAAAAAAAATCGAGATGGAACATTTCTGCCACGAATGCGAGGCTTTCGCTTTGTATCATAGGCGTTGGACTTAAAAGCACTGTAACTTTTTTTTATGGATAGGTTCCCAGATACAGTAACTCTTTTATTCTTCTTTAATTCTTAGTTGGCTACCCTTTACATGTTCGTGACTTTTTTCAGAGGATTTAAACTGAATTTATGAACTGATGGGGGCGTTGCGTAGGAAGTGCAGAGTTAACCTACTTGACGACATTTTTTTACCTAGGAATACAAAGCGGTCGCTTCAGCCGAAGGTTCCCGCACTGTTTGTTCTTGGTGCTAAGAAGTGAGCCTACTATTCGCAATATGTCTCTTTTGGTTTTATTAACTATATTATGGGGGAAATAGCGTGCTAAATTGTTCACAGTGTTTATCTATAAAAACGCAATGATCTGGGTGCGAGAGACGTACATGAGTCACGAACACATCCATAAATCATAAGTAAACCAAACAGAGAGGATAATGCGAATATGAAGTGATGCATACCTTGAAAAACAAATTCGCAAAATTATTTTACGTAGTTGGTTTTAAATGCGAATATACAGGGCGTAAACGTTATGATAGTCCTTATTTAAATGGGTGATACAGGGGGTTGAAAGAAGCAAAAAGTTCCATATAACATGGGGGTCAAAACGGCATTTTTTTAGAGAAAAGCGGCTTTAAAGTAAAATAAATCTGACAACGCCGCAAAACTGTGCAATGCCAGACGCAAATTACGACGGAACGCAGTGTAAATAAAGATGGAGTTTGTTATTTTTGGCTCTTAGGTATTATTTCATTATTTGATAATGTACTCGTAAAATGCAAACAATTAAAAAAACGGACTTACCACTAACTGTCTCAGCGCTCCTCGTGGTGTGTGAAAGTTTATTGAACGTATTAAAAAAATCCACTCATAAATAGGGAACACAATTTTGATACTTACACTGTTTTTCTTTTTAAAACCCACACTGCACTTTTTTTGTATTTAAAGAAGGTGCAAAATGTCGTCCTCCACTTACCACACAAGCTTCAGTACGAAGAACCCAGTTTCTTCGTACTCTAGGTCCTCGAAGTTGTCCATTTATTATTTCAGCCGCATTAAATTTTTTTTCGCGAAGTTGTGCTTCAGTTGCTATTGGACCAGCCCCATAAACCATCCCTTTAAGTTCTCCCCAATACCAGAAATCCATCGGATTGAGGTCAGGAGATCTTGCTGGCCATTTTCGAGGATCACGAGGATATCGACCGATCCAGCGATTTGGATAATGTTCATTCAAATACTGAATGACGCCTCTAAAAATGTGTGGTGGAGCCCCGTCATGAAGAAACCACAAATTCTGTCTCCGTTGTAATGGCATGTTGGCAAGGTCTGTTCCAAAAGTTCTGGTAGGTTATTCGCTACAAAGCTAAGGTATCCTTCTCCTGACAACTTTGGGGGTAACTCGAAAGGGCCAATTACCTGATCGTCAAGAATACCCGCCCAAATATTTATTTTAAAACGTTGTTGGAAATGACCTTCACGAATGGTATGAGGATTTTCTTGGGCCCGTGTGTGAGTATTATGGAAATTTAATATCCCGTCTCCCGTAAAAGTACATTCGTCCGTCGCTTTTAAAAAAATCCGGATTTTAAATGTTTTTGTGCAAAAACCACTGACAGAATATTAGTCTGCGAGGATAGTCTGGTAACAAGGCCTGCACTCGTTATACATGGTAGGGATAAAGCAAATTTTCCCGTAGGATTCTATGGACGCGGCGGCCTAATTCCCGAATAATGATATTTGCATTGATTTCCACGATATTTAAAATTTGTTCCTCCTGCTCTACAGTAACCTGTCTTTCACGAGTGCGAATATTAGTAGGCTGAACACTTCCTGTATCTCGAAGTCTTTGGTACACTTGCACAAATATCCTTCTGTCTGGGTGTAAACGTTGTCGAAATCTGTCGCGATAAATTTGAATTCTGACAAGCTTCACGGTAAACTAACAGCATTTCGGCGAACTCTTGATTCGAGAACATTGTAAATAAACACGACGACGTACGCGAACAAAAACAAAACAACACGCCCGATGCTCTGCTCGACAAAACGATAAAGTAATTTATCTATGCAAAACGATAACTAACCACTGTTACCGTTTGCGATCGATTGCCGGTTCGATAAGAGTGATGAAAGACCGACGCGCTGTTGTGATGTGTGTTTTAAATATTTAATTTAATGATACTTACTGACCACAAATTTTGGATTAACTTAGAAAAACTTAATGCCATTTATTTGTTAATTACCCAATTTAAAAACTTTTAGATTAGGTTATAAACATTAGTAAGATTGTGGTGATTGTGGTCGATATAAAGCACTTAAAGTTGTAAACTATAAAGCCATTTAGACAAAAATCTATTGACTTTTGGACCATAGGTCATATGAACTTTTTGACTTGTTTTGACCCCCCCCCCTATTATCCATTTCAATAATAACTACCATAACGTTTACACCTTGTATTAGAGTTGGAAATCTTACTTTTTTGGATCGTGTTATGATCATTCCAAGTTTTGAGGTCAGATATACTTGGAAGTTTATAACAACCTACAACCCTCTCTCGCCTATTTTTAACCACTTCAATTTTTCTCAAAAATGATGGCGATCCTCTGAAACGAAGATTGATCGATTTTTAATTTATTCATTTTTGACCTATTTCTCCGCCGCGACTGGATCGATTTTCAAAAACGTATCCCCTTTGCTTGTATGGCTAATAAAACCACAAACCACGTGTGTTTACAGATCTTCGCTACTGTAGTAAACATTTCAATCACAGTGGTGATTTTCTTCAGCGTTGTTTGCCATCTTTGACACAGAACAAATTGTTAGCAGTTGAAGAGTGAAGATGGAGGTGTGATAGACCAAAAAGTTTAGGGTAGTAGTAGTTTATTGCAAAATAAAAATAAAGAACCTA